TGCGAGCAGACAGAAAAGGTCGGGGTGGATGAATCGTTCAACATAATGAAAACAAAACACTTTAACACAGGAGAGCACTGTTTGTTTCCCATTTTTCTCATTTTTCTTTTGTCCATGAGCGTTCCCTCAACGTGACCAAGTGTTTTTTTTATATATAGTAGTCATTTAAACTGGAACCACAATGCTTCCGTAACTAAGTTGTTTCTGTGCCTAAACCTCAACTATAGCGTTGTAAGATAAAAGAAAATGATTTCATTATTGAAACGGTGACGCTGTCCTGAAGATAGTGGCTTCCAGTAAGAAAACACTTACACACATATGTTGTTGTGGACATACAGCGTTGTTTTGTTGTTGGGGCTCAACATGCGGTGTTATCACATTTTTATCAATGGAGTAATTTGGTGCCATAAAGCAGAGTAAGAGTGTCTGTGGATCTCACCTCACTGCACAGCGAGCCGCTAACAGCAGCTTTATGGTCTGAGCATGCTAACTGCTGCGTGCCACTCAACAACATTGCCAAGCAAACTCATTTTTGTAGTTTGACCGTAGCTATCACTTTACCTTCTGGGCATGTCTTTCAAGTCAATTTACATACCGCGGCAACACACACACAGCCACATTAACCGCGCAATATGCTAACGCCAAGTTAGCTAACCTTTAAAATAAACAGTTAAACAACACAAAACACGGCAACACTTACAGCTTCCAAGTTTGAAGTCGGGTCACGTACAACCCATGGCGATCCGTCCTTGAACCGTTACGGAGTGCCATCCTCCGCGGTAGGCATGACCAATAGCGCGGTATTTCAATTTTGCGATTATCGCGGCAGCCCTATAGTGCAGCTGCGTTTAGATCCCGTTTGATCTTTACTCAGTTTTCCCTCCGCCTTGACTAACAATCAGCAGGGGTTCCATAGCCTGGATTTTATGAAAGCAGGCTTGTGATTTTGAGGTTGCAGGTTTGAATTTCTGAACCAGCGAGGTTCTAAACCACAGGGCAGCTCTGTCCGTCTGAACCTGTGTTAATGTAAAACATTGAGTTGCTGAAAATAGTATACATGCTTATGAACTTTCTTCAGACCAACGGTAATAAAAAAGAAATATACCATGATGATCTTATTTTAAAACTGCTTCCTCCCTTCAGCTCCATCTTGGCTCCTCTCTACGAATGGACGGAGTAAGACCAACCAGTTTCTCCCATTAGTTTATATGACATGTTGATCCATCTGTGCAGCATGTCACCCTTGCATGTACTTGGATCAGTTCTGATGGCTGTCCTTCCCCTCTGTTTTGTAAAGGACAATGTGAATCCTTTTTATGTCTCCTTATGTTTGCTCCCCTGTAATAGCAAATTTGTTATTTGTATTTTATTCCACTAATGGTGTGAATGGAATATTGGTTCACTTAATTTTATTGAGGAGTTATTCTAAAAGCAGGAGTAACTGGCCCACCAGTGTTTAGATGGCGTGAAATCTGATCTGGAATTAATAGGAACAATTTTGACATTTAGGAAATATGTATGTATTCGCTTTCAATATGAAGCTAGTGCAGGCAGACAATTAGCTTAGCTTAGCATAAAGACTTAAAGCATGGTGAAACAACTACCTGGGCTAGGCCTGCCTACACCTCTACAGCTCTAAAGGCTTCTTGCCTTTATTTGATAGAACAACTGTAGAGAGAGACAAGAAATGTGGAGGAAAGAGAAAAAGAGGACAGCACACAGCAAAGGGTCACAGGCTGGAATCGAACCCCGGCCACTGCAGCAAGGACTCAGCCTTGTATTTTGTGATATACCAGGTGAGCTAACCAGCAGCCCTCTGCAGCTCACTTATTAACATGTTTACAGAGATTAAAGATTTAACAAATGGTGTAGATGTAAAAATTGAAAAAAATGTGGTTCAATTTAAGCCCTGCGATGGACTGGCGACCTGTCCAGGGTGTACCCCGCGTTTTGCCCGATGTCAGCTGGGATTGGCTCCAGCCCCCCATGACCCTGTACGCAGGATAATTGGTTGACAATGGATGGATGGTTCAATTTAACAACAGGATTGGAAATTTCAAACATTAATGCATTTAACCGTATCACATGGTCTTCATCAGCAGGTGGACTTTTTTCTTTACGATGGATCTGGATCATATTTATCAGATCCATCTCCATGACAGCTACGCCAGCTGATGAAGACCATTCGATACTGATGAAAGCTAGAAGGTGGACCTCAAGCTGGGATTGTATTGTCATCAACCCGGACTTTGACATAAAGAGAAATCCTGAGCACATGTGTTGTCCTCACGCTGACCCAACCTATCTGAGCTGGAGAAGGAAGGTTGGTGGGTGCGAGGCAGAATTTAAGACTGTATTCATACCCGTCTTGTTTGGTTTGGTTAATCAAACTCAGGTTTGTTTACCCCCTTGGTGCGGATCTTTTGGCAGGTGTGAATACAGCAATCGCACTCTGGTGCGGAACCAAACAACCGTACTTAGACCCAGCTGAAGACATGGTCTCAGTCTGCTTCCAAACGAACTCTGGTATGTTTTTTTAAAAGCATGAATGTGGCCCGACCTTGATCCAACCCAACTGCAATAAGCACTGCACTACGAGAGTTAACAGGCTCTCGTAGTCGGTGCAGATTTTGTCTTTAATTACACTGCAACTACCTCATATGACAGACAAATCTGGAAGCAAAAGCACTGTGTGCCTGGGCAGTGTGACAGGGTCAGATTTATATTATGTAATTAGGGCTAATGAAATGGCTAAATATGACTCAGTAGTGATAGCACTACACATAGCAGTTTGCAGTAATATTAGCAGTAATAATTCTGATGTAATAATCTGTTGATCTGGTTGTATGAATTCAAACTTTATACCTGATCCATCTTCTGTGCAGTGCCACTGTCAACATGGCACGGCAGGCGCAAAATGCTCATTGTAATTTGCTAAATGCTATTTACAACATCGTATAGATGACACCATATCATATGATGCTCACAAGTTTCTGCAAATTGCATTGCATTGTAGCTGATAACACCAAACCAGTAAAAGAACAAAAATTGCCCTACAGAAGATCTCCATGATAATTTAGCCTACCTTTGCACTTCCTGCTTTCTTTCCGTCCAGTGAATGGATGACCTTATCACACGTGTGGTTTTGATTACAAATTCCGGTTCACTTTCAAAAAGGGCAGCGTGAAAGCAAACCGCACCAAACAAATAAAAAAATCCACATTGTATTTGGTCTGGATCAAGGCCAGTAACTGAGAAGTATGGCGATTACTGTGTGTCAGCACACCCTTGGCATTCACACAGGGCAATGGAGCCAGAGTGACAGGACATCCCAAACAGATTAATTACAAAATAATCCCCAACATATGCACCTTACTATCCCCATTAACCATCAGAAAGTACTATACATATTTATATGTATCATCAGCCCCTGTGTCCCACCCCCTATTCCTCCACCCAGCTAAACAGGAGAGGCAGCGCTGGGGTTATAATGGTGGGTTAGGATAGCAAGTCAGATTGCTGCTTGCTTAATTTAGTTGCTGAGTTAAATGTTCCTATTGACAGTACAGTCAGTAGCTCCTCTCAGGAGGATCTGTTATTGTGCTATTCTGTTTATCTAGACAAGAGAAAAGCAGTATTATGATTTATTTTATCTATCTTTTCATTTCTTATTGAATCTTAATATATTTTGTGTTTCAAATTGGAACAAATCCACACGGCATAAAAGTATTCCTTTTGACCATCCTGTACATAGTAATTATTTGAAGTAAGTCAGTAATAATGCTGCACTGAAATGAGTTGTTTACAGGGAGTCTGGAAAATGTGAGAGAAAATGTATTAAGGTGTGACCTTTCAAGTCCATTGCATGAGTTTCTTTATGTTTGTTTTTGGTCCTTTCATTTTCCACATCTCGCCAGCTCGCACTGACTCATATGTCAGAGCCCTTCTGCCGCCTCTCTCCCTTCCATCTGCAGCCAAATGGAGCAGAGCAGCAGACACCGGATAGAGATTAAGTGCAGAGATGACTATCCAAAATCACAAACTACAAATGGTGATGATGTGCTGGATGTGAAAGTGGCCAATTATTGGCTAACATGTAAGCCATAACAAAGGTATAAGGCAGGGATAGGCCGTGGCGGTGGCTGAGGATCTGTGGTGGAGCTGTGGATCTTTGTTTTGGCATTTTTCTGCCTCCTAGTGGCAAAACACTGATTATTGCAGCATTAAATAAATGTCACATGACATAGCTTGTAGCATCTTAAGGGCCATGAAAATAAGGTAGAGCAATAACAACCTTTTTTATGCAACAGAGCAGTGAACATGGAGGAGGTTAACGTCAGTGTATTGTGATTTTATTGTTGTTATTTACAGGATGTGACTGTGAGTTTTGAATTGATTTTGAAAAGGAGATGCAAAGAGATGTAAAGGGGGCAGGGAAATGGAACCAAACAATGTGTGAATCGTGTTGTCCAGAATGTCATTTCAGATGGCTCTGTGATTAGGTAAAGTTTCTGAGTTCTGCAAATGGGCTCAAGGATGGGGTCAACCAGCCCTTCATAAGTTCAAACATAGCCTAGTTATAATGTTATTTAATTAAATGCATCACTGAATTGAAACAGATTACACAACACAAACTATTTTTTACATAGAGATTAGTTGTTATTAAATACACTCTAACTCCCAGGTCAGCAGCAGACTTCCTGTTTACTGTACAGTTGATTGCTTAACGTCAGCATTATATATTAAATATGCATTTGTGACATTTGTCACTGTGACTTCATGAAACATGGCTCAGTGTGTGTCTCAGAGTGTTGAAAGTATAAAGCACACAGAGCATGAATGAGTCCTGGCCCTTCTTCCCTCCTGCAACCCCCCCCCCCCCTTCTCTCTCCCCTCACCAGGTATATTTCTCCCCAAACATGTTGATTTATTTTTCTCAGCTAAGATGTTGCTGCACCCGTCCTGACGCAGCCTCTCTTCTCTCTCTGTTCCCCCTCCAGATTGAAATCCGGGACACCAAGGATCCAAGATTCGGAGTCCGGCGGTTCCCCTGAGAACCAAACTTCCTGTCCTCCTCTTCCATTTCCCCCTTCCTTCAGTCCATCCATCCTCCTCTTGCTCATCTTCTTCTCTCATTAGCTCTTCAGGTTAAACCTTGATCTGGGCTTGGAGGCCAAAGCCCAGCAGTTTGTAAAATAGGACTGAAGTGGAATCACCTAACAAAGGAAAACTGTCTGTTGGAAGACAATTACATCCTGAGGGGAAGTATGACCATCAGCTTTATCAAACTCTGGGATACAGTCATTCATAACATACAGTGTTACTGTCTCATAACATTGTTATAACAAAGAATATGACGTTATTGATAATGATAATGCTTGCAGTAGGAGTATTCTATGAAACTATACATATTTTTATTGAGTGGAGAAAAGCTATTTCCAGCTTTAAAAGTAATGTTATAAAGTGCGTATGTAAAAGCACACAGGTGCTACTTCTGATATAATAAGAAATAAAAAAATAAAAAAACAAGGAAAAAAGATGATTTTGTACAGCCACAGTGTAATTTTGAAGTCTTTTTCAGGCCAATTTTCAACTGCTCTTTGTATATGACAAGGTCTGATCCCAGGACCTACAAAAATAAAACATGTAAATGACAAGTTTCTATGGAAACAGGGTATAAAGAGACACTTAAGCCCCCCCCTCCGCCCTCCATACATGACGCATCCCTGTGAGCTGTGGAATAGTAAAACTTGTTTAATTGTCAAATAATGAAGAAAAAAGTGTGGATTCCACTTGTATTTTAACCCTGTGTGTAAATGTAAGCCAGCCGTCATCCTTTGGGCCACACTACACTGAGAAAAGAAAAGGCTGAGAGGCAAAGAAATGTCCTTCCTGTCCTCAGCTATTTAATTTAGTCACATTTCACTACACTCTGTTTTTTTTCCTTTTCCTCCCCCAACTCACTGGTCCTGTTCAGTTCTGCTCTTGTCGACTGGTTTTGGTGTGTAAGTCCGCCACCACGAAAGGCCCTGCATGCTGCATCTATCTCAGGCTTGCAAAGACGAAGTTTCCTGTACACGCTCAACAGGTCTGCTGCACTATCCAGGCCCACCAGCTGAAGAGCACAGAGCTGAGCCTCCATGTGTAGAGGACAGACCCAGCACAGACATTCATCAAGACAACAGGCATCATCACGCACTGTGCCGCTTCCCTCCTCTGAATCCGCACCGGACCCTCTATGGAGAGAGATTAGTGCTTTAAAATACATACATCTGAATTTGACATGTTAATTTTGAATGGAAGGCACAATTGAATGCAAAGGCTGCAAACAAGGCGAGAACGACCCAAATGTCAACATTATTTAATTTTTGTCACGAGGGTAGCAGGAATACAGCGTTAGGGCCCAAATGCAGACGAGGCATCTGGTGGACAGCTAGAGGAGGGCAGGTCTGGGGAGAGACAGGGACAAATAGTGAGAATAATGCAGAGGGCTGGGGATGAGAGAGTGTGGCTGCAAGAAGGGACTGAGAGGCAAACTGTGACAATTCTACCTTCAACCACAGTTTTAAATTTACTTTTCTTAAATTCAGATTGTGCTCTGAAAAACACATCTGGAGGGAAAATACAGACAATAGACAATAGACAAGTACAGATCCAGTCCAACAACACTGGGCTGTAATGCTGCACTTTGGGTGCGAGGCAACTTTTTGTTATGCAAGTGTTTGGTAGCTTCTTGGCTAAAGGTGTATTCACATTACAGCGGAAAAACAAGGGTAAAAAATGTCCACACAGTATTTAGTGCTCTGAATACAGGATTTACCAGTCCGGAATACCTGATGGCGCTGCGCTGAACGGCGCCACTTACAATGCTAATGTTGCTAGTAGTAGATCGCTATGTTTCAGAGACTCAATTTGTGTTTTTGTAACAAACCTGGTAATTTGCATGCTGATATTTCACCAATCGAATGTCTTTTTTTGTCTGGTCTCGATAGGAGGCCAATTTATTATTGTACAGTTGTGGAGATTCAAAAACACAGGGTAATTTGTTTTTTGTCCATCTTTCACTTTAAGCAGTAGTGAACAGCAATTGGCTGCACCCTCAAAGGTCAGCACAGTCTGAGTCAAAGTTCAGCAAATTTCAACTTTCGCCGCATCCCCACTCCGCGCGGCGCACCCTCTGGCATCACACCACACATACACAATAATGGCGCACGTGACAGCTGTTTTTCCACGATAATGTGAAGAGAACCAACCTGTCCAGGTGAGCATTGTGGCACAGTTGGGGGAGATGATCATTCAGCAGCACAGTGTGATTTAGCTTTCACCTTGGGGATAAAATTGACATCTGTGCTCATACCCACAAAGACCACACCTCAGCCAAGACCTCTCAAAAATCACACTGTGTAAATCTGCATCTGACAAATATAATGGAAACACATTATGTCTGTTACTGTTGACTGGAGACAATCCCCCTGGTCCCTGATGTGTCTGACAAAGCTCAGTCTGAGATGAGGAACCTGTATCACAGCAGAGGAACCTCTGGAACCCCTGGCAAATTACATGTTGATATCTTTAGGCACATGTAGATTGGCAGTTTATCTCAGGATCATACACAACACACAGGTAATTATGATTTTTTAAATTTATTATTATTATTTCCATCAATTTCCATCTAAGTATTTCTATGTCTTTAGTCCAGGATTTTTGAGGATGATATACTTTTGTTTTTATTATTTTCAAAAATATGGAGAGAAATGGAGATACTCATATATTCCAACTTGTGTTTTTACCAAATACTCAACCACTGATCAGTTTGAAGGAGTTCTCAAAGGAGGATATTGCTATTCACATTACTGTGCAGTGCAAATCTCTTACTCAGTTTAAAATGTTCCTTTCTTGTCATTCATCCACTTTTAGGAATCTGGAAGACATGGCATAGTAGGAATGACCAATCCATTTTTTCTCATAAAAATACCGAAAGTATCTGTTTGTGTCAAAATATGTGTGAAAGGGTTTCTATTTTTCTGGCCAAGCTGTGAGGGCTGAGTATGACAACATTTACTCAAGACTAAGGTTTCCAGTATAGATCTCTTTCAACTAACCTGCCTGGTCTCTGACATTTTGTCAAATGAGCACACTCTTTTATATTTATACTGAGGGATTTTTGAGCGTTATTTGACAAAAAGACAAACACGTAGCAATGCAGTGCCTGTGAAACACATCCAGCGTTTCCTACTCACTCATGCAGCATGCAACACCTCATTGCTGGCCACCTGAAAAATATGAGGAAGTATTCATTCTCCATTTAGCTCTGTTTTGGTCTTCACTAACTCCAGATTCAAATATCCAGCTCTGAATTTGCTGAACTTTGTTCACTGTGTAGAGATGTAGAGTTGTGTGAGGTTTGGTGACCCATTTCCCATTACATAATGTCATTTGATGAAGTGTCATATCAAACGTATCATTTCATTGAAATTTAATTCCAACCCTTATCTATAGAAGTAGTTCCCACAACGCAATTCCATTAAAACTGAAATGTGCGCAACTCTTCTCCAGTACACCATGCTTTATACACAAACGTTTTCGACTACCTTGCCTTCGTCAGGGTGTGCTGGAGAAGACCTGAACCTCGCAGTGTGTGTGCTCTCAAAGTAGGAAATCATTTCCACAATGCAAACACATTTCACCTCATCATAGTGTCATAGTCATAGTCACCAGTGTGAGTTTGCAGGTAAATCACCCGAGTCATCAACAGAGCTATGTCAAAAAGGGCTCCTGTTTGAGACCCAAAGAGGTCAAATTGTCAAATATTTCACGAAAAAAGCACACATTCCAAACTGTGCAGCAGAACGTTGTCTTCGCTCCTCTCCCACCATCCTCTCTCTCTCCTTTTGGAGAGGGGCTTTTTACTGGAGACAGATGATTTTGATGTCAAATCACATAATGTTTGGGACAAAACCTGACAGCAGTTTGGGTAATCTGAAGCTAACCCTGATACTGAGTTGAGTTTCTATCCACATATTAAGGGCACACTGCATAGTTGTGTTACAGCACCCCATGATTTAACAAACCATTGAAATTAATGTATAATAATAGAATCAAAGCTCAAGCTTTCAACCACATCTCATTGAAAGGTCACAAATTAACTTTCATTCTCAAAACTTAAAAAACGATGCTTTCAATTTGTGCCACTGTTATACAAAAACAGATTCTGCCAGAGTCTGTGCTCATTTCACACAATAACGTGAGACCATTTATACAACTAGTCTATTTCAGGATTCAGTCCTGCTTTCAAGATTTTGACACCAGTATTACTGGTGTATTAATACCTGTACAGTACATAATTAGATTTGGAATTTGGTACAGTATGTTTTTTTGTATTACTTACACTGTGTAGTTTTGGTCCACCCTGGGTTTTTGTAGTTGGTGGGATCATTAGTCCAAACCATGAAATTCAAGCGTCATCAGTAGTTAGTCCTTCTGAATGAATCATATGCCAGGGCCGAGCTCACTGAGGACACCTCAACGCAAAAATCTGTCTCCTCTCTCAGTGTCTGTCTTTTTATTGTACTGCCCACAGGTATTTGACTTTATACCCTCTGTTATGCAGTTGTGCCAAATCAAGAAATGGAAACTGTACTTTTATATTTGACCCCTGACTTTCTATTTCAGTGCTTTTCAAAGTGTTTCCTTTTTTCTTCTCCTTCTTCTTTTTTTTTTTTTTACATAGTTTGATTTTCATTGCTCTGCTGTTGTTGTAATGTTATTTTTTCTGTGGTTATGGGATGCTGTGATGTTTCTCAATATTGAAAAAGGAATGTTTGTGCCGGATTGTCACAGAAGAGTTCAGCATGGCAACCAGTGTCATACACCACTTTATCACCATTGTTGTTGTTGTTTTAACAAGAAAATTAATAAACTGATTGACTATTAATGTTGTTCAAGCTTTTTTATTCTACCTTCTCAGTTTCATTTCAGTGAAAAGATAAAGATAAAGTTTTCAACTCAAGTCTATAAATCAATTCTATACAGTAATTAAAGCCTTGTTTTAGTCTTTCACAACCCAACCTGGAAAACACTACAGCCAATTTGTTATAGTGCTCCGTGAAT